AACCCAACTTCTGTAATGTACCGATGCTTGTGTTCGGCACGGCCATTTTGCTGCGGAGTATAAGGGCATGAGAGTTGATGATGAATTCCCCGGGAATGCAAAAAATCACGCATACGATGGTTGGTAAATTCTGTACCACCATCGGACTGAAAGACCCTCATGGCTGTGGAGAATTGATTGCAAACAAATTGATGAAACCTTTCAAATATGGAAAAAAATTCTGATTTGGCCCGCATGGGATATAGCCATGAAAACCTAGAGTAATCATCCACAAAAAGAGCATAATAGCGATACCCGTCTCGGGATTGCACAGGTGTCGGTCCCCATAAATCACAATGAACAAGGTCTAATATGCCATTAGCACGTTTGTCATTTAAATTAAAAGGAAGACGCTTACTTTTAGCTAATTGACAAGACGGGCTGTAACACCCCGGCCCCACCGGACCCGAGGTAGTTACTCCGGACCAATAGTACTGTCCCCACAAACCACCACGAGCCTTTACCGCGCACTTTGTCCTCACTCATGCGCGCCCTGAGAAACTTCCCAGGGGGTCACCCATCCCAAGTCTACTCTCGTGCAAGCACGCTTAACTTGGGAGCTCTTGTGTGATGAGCTCCCTTAAAAGGAGATGCACCTCTGTTGGTATGAGTAGTACTATTAATCCGTTTATATTAAATCTCAAGTGTTACAATCACCCCCACTTAGGATCGCAACGTCCTCGTTGCGCCCTTGAACCAATCTCAAATCTCAATCAAATCCCAGAATCTTCCCCCTGCTAAGTGCCCGCCCGATATCCAACGGATCAACACACTGTCGCAGGGTTGCTCTGATACCACCTGTAACACCCCGGCCCCACCGGACCCGAGGTAGTTACTCCGTACCAATAGTACTGTCCCCACAAACCACCACGAGCCTTTACCGCGCACTTTGTCCTCACTCATGCGCGCCCTGAGAAACTTCCCAGGGGGTCACCCATCCCAAGACTACTCTCGTGCAAGCACGCTTAACTTGGGAGCTCTTGTGTGATGAGCTCCCTTAAAAGGAGATGCACCTCTGTTGGTATGAGTAGTACTATTAATCCGTTTATATTAAATCTCAAGTGTTACACGGGCAAAGGCCAGTAAAATTGAAGTAACTTCCAAATGTCCAAGTTTATGTAAAAGGGAAATTAACTGAAATGGGACATGCCCCAATCGTAAATGCCATAAATGAAATGAAGCTTTTAAATTTCTGCTTTTCAAATGAGCCACCAAAGCAGGATGACCACGCTCCAACACGTACAACCCTTGATCACATCGTCCCTGAGCTAGAGGCACCTTTGTCTCTCGATGTTGAATAGTAAAACTTTTGTCAGATAAAACAACCTCAACAGGATAATCAGATGTAAGTTTGCTAATAGATAAAAGATTTTTTGTGATATGCGGAACAACCAACACATCGAGCATACGGAGATCAGGGGATAAAGAACAGGTGCCAATATGAGAAATATGTAAATTGGAGCCATTACCAATCACAACACTGCCATTACCAGAATATGGCTCAGGATTATCCAAAAGAGAAGTTTGAGGCGTCATATGAGCACTGGCTCCGGTATCAACATACCAATAGGAAACGGGATCATGAACGTTGCACGAACCAGTGAAAGCTTGAGCTAGATTGGCTGTAGAGGGTAAAGAAGCAGTTCGAGCCTGAAGAAATTGGGGGCATTGATCAGCAAAATGTGGCCCGCGACAAATTTGACATTTGGGGACAAGTGGTTTGCGTGACCCAGTACCGGTGGTGGAATTCTGGCGTGCTCCAGTGGGATTGCTGGAGGAAGAAGCCCCACGAGAATGGCCGGTACTACCACGGCCGGAGGTGGGACGGTGGCGAGATGAATTTGGACCACGAGAAGAAGCCCCACGATGATGGGAACTGTAGAACCCAGCAGGGGCAGAAGCAGGTCCCTCCATAGTACGAAGAAACAGATCATACTGTTGAGCTTGAGGCAAAAGGTCACGAAGAGGAAAAATCGGATCTCTGGACATGCGATTGTCAGCAAAGCTAATAAATTGAGGTCCCAATCCACGTAAGAACCAGTGAGACTTGTCTGATTCTTCAACTGGGCGGCCAATTTCCGACAACTTGTTGCAAAGGTCTTTGAACTGGCGGCCATATTCTTCCACAGAGAGAGAACCACGGCGAAGGTTTTGTAATTCATCTCGAAGTTGATTGGCCCGGGCAGTAGAGGAAGGAGAAAACGCAGCTTCAAGTGCGAGCCAGGCATCACGAGAAGTCGAACAGCTTACAACCTCAGCCATATATTCTTCAGTCAAGGTAGATGTTGGTCCCGTTTAATATGGTAATCAGTCTAGAGGGGGGGGGGGGTGAATAGACTGATTGGTTTTTCAAATTTTCTCTAAGTCCAAAGTGACTTATCAGAGAAGGTCTGATTCTGATGACAGAGAAAGGCTGGTTCTGATATCAGAACTGGCCTTGGCAGCGGATTCTGATCTGTCCGGGTAGCCTCAGAAACACTAAGGCAAATGCCTTTCTGATAACTCTGAAAACAAGATCTGCTGAACACAGATTCCAAGTCTTAGAGTTAATCAGTTAATGTCCTAAGTGCAGAAATATAAATTGCAGTAAAGTAAATGACACCGGATATTTTTATAGTGGTTCAAGGAACAACGCGTTCCTCTAGTCCACTGTTCCACTAGCTTTGAAGTAGATCGGTTACAAAGCTAATCCCTAGCACTTAAGAAGCACTCCTCGTCTTCTTCAAGTCTAGATGCCACCCAGGATGCAATTCCACGTCCTGATGGCTGATCCTTTCACTCAGCTTCCCGGAAGTATCACCACTTCACTACTGCAGTTACTTGGACGCCCTTCTTTGCAGAAGATCCTTTGAAAAACACAAAGTTTTTCCTCCAACTTGCTTCGTTACAAAAGATGTTTGATGAGGATCTTGAAGTGTTGAAGAACAGGATGAATTTTGCTCGTTGTTGGGGATGAAAGATTTGGAGTTTGAATCTTCCCAACGTAGGACTTTTCTTGTAGAGTGTTATGAAGGTTGAATCTCAAGAAGTATGTTCAGAGTAATGAATGGAGAAAAAGTTATCTTCCTTGTTCTTCTTCGTGTAGCTTATATACTGAGGTTGTCTGCCCGTTGGAGGAGGAGGAGACAACTGCATTAAATGCGCGTACTGTTGACTTGACCGCCGTTTTGGAAGGTTTCTATTTTTATAATATATCTTCCCGGATTCCTTGGTCAATCATTTGCAATCAATCCTTCAGCGTATCAGGCTCATTTAATGTGCATTAAATGCTTTCCTTTCATGCACAGTCTTCTAGCCGTTGGATGTTTTTACCCGTTGGATTCATAGCTGTTGGATGTTGCTTGAAATCTTCTAAGTGTTAGTCGGGCTCTGATCAGGATCTTCTGATGTGTTGGATTCTGATGGCTTTCTGAGTTCTGATGGCTTTCTGATGAGTTGAGTTCTGATGTCTTTCTGATCTCCGACTGAACTCTAACTCTGACTCTGATAGGTCCGTTGATGAGTACCTCTGATCTGTAACTCTCATTGGTTATCAGATGTCCAAATTTATCAGCAACTCTCATGGTGCAACTCTGATGGACTTCTGATAGGAGAACTCTGATGGAGCAGTCCTCATAGAGCAAGTCTGGTCGAGCAATTCTGATGCACTTCTGATCTGATCCAAAGCAGAGCAACTCTGATCGTCGACTACACTAATACTTACAATTGAAAATTCTAATACATAAAATCTAATTGGGGGTATTCTAACTTTCTAATCCTATAGCATCATCAAAATCTAATTACATTTATTCCTTACAATTTCCCCCTTTTTGATGATGCCAAAACCCTTAAACTATTCCCAGAGAAGTGCCTTACAGCATGAAGGAAAATAAGTTAAAAATAAACTTTCATTTAGAATCTTGGTGGGCACTTGGCATAGGAAAATAGTAAGAGTAAGATACAATCAATCAGATAAGCAGAATAAGAAATAACACAAGATATCAGAGCATAAATAATCAGAGTGCAAGCTGAAAGAATTTGAAATTGCCATGCAAAATAGAGGCAAGCTGGTTATCTTATTAAAGAAGAGTATTAAAAGCAACAGGAGGATAGAGTTTAGATATCTTCCTCTTCTAGTTCAGCTTCCTTTGCTTCAATTTCCTTCAGATCAGCATTTACCTTTGCTCTGATGGAGGCCAAGTTCCTTGGGTTCTGACACTCTGACCAGGCAGGTTCAAGCTTGCAATCCAGATAATTTCTGATGGCTTCTGATAGGTCCTTGCCAGGGATCACTTTCATTCGCCACCAGTCTTCTGCTTCTTGCATGGAGCCACCATGGTTAATGATAATCAGCCCATCTTTATCTAGAATCAGGTTCTCCTTTTGATAGGGAGTCATGTGTTTCTTCATTTCTTGGAACTGGGCTGCATCAGGCTTGGCTAGGTCACTGTTGAGCCATTGAGCCAGAGTGAGTGAAGGAGTCTTCTTCTTTCCTTTCTTGGAGCGAGGAGGGGTTGGTCTATGAATACCAACAGCAATCTGCTTCTGCCTGGTCTTCTCAAAGTATATAGCAGGATCAGGGGTACCAGAGATGGGAGTCAGAGCTCTGGCGCTTGATCCTTCTGCAGTTCTGATAGCTATTGCAGAATCTCTGGTATCTTCCCCCTTTTTGGCATCAGCAAGATCACCAAGTAGGAGTCCAATTTTCGAGAATTCTGTTGCCTGGTTCTCCTTAATGACCTCAAGGGCATTTGGCAGAGTCTGGGTTACAGAGGCCAGCCCTTCAATGATTTCCTTCTGTTTGTCAACAGCAGTCTGAATATCTTTGGTAGTAGCTTCAAGGAGAGTCAACTTGTGATCTCTGTCCTTTCCACTATTGATCAATTTAACGGTGAGTTCTTTAGTATCTTTGCACAGTCCTTCAACATCTTGGAACTCCTGACGAGCTTTATCAGAGGACCTGATAAGTCCATTTTTGAACTTATTTTTCTTATCAAATTTAAGCGATTTTTGAATGAAAATAGAAAGAAAAGACACATTTTATATATTTTTTGGTTCAAGTTTCATGAAATCAGGTAAAAATCACATCCATAATATGTTTAGCGGGATTTCGGGTCAATTGAGCACAAAATGAGTCAATTTGAGTGACAAATGCATTTATACCGGAAGAAGCAAGCATTTTATCAAGGTGATTCAGAAGACAAAAATGAAGAGCAGGAAAAGCCGCATCTACCAGACAAAAATAGCAGAAGGCGCCCAAATAGGCGCCCAAAATGAAGGCCTTCGCGGCCGCCTACGGTATTTTTGGAAAGTCAAACTTTGACTTTGACCGGATTCGGAAAAGACCGTAGGCCGCCGACACTGGACGGAAGGCGGCCGCCTACGGTGACCGCCTGCGGCAGAAGACGACGAAGCAACCGCCGGCCGGTGGGATTTGACGGCAGGCGGCCAGACAGGAACGGCAGGCGGCCGCCTGCTGGACCGCCTGCGGCGGCCGGGATCCGCCGTGATCCGATTTGACAAGGAAAAGACGGCAGGCGGCCGATGTGTGACGGAAGGCGGCCGCCCTCTGTGGCCGCCTACGGCTGACGGGGACCGGCCACCGACCGCTGTCGGCGACGAAGACGGCAGGCGGCCGGAGAGAGGCGGAAGGCGGCCGCCTGGTTGGCCGCCTTCGGGGAAATTTCTCCTATAAATAGCCCGATTTTTCCTCAACTCAAACACACCTCTTCCAACCCTAAATCAGTTCAAAACACCTTCTTTCTTCCTCCATTTTCGAGCTCCAAAGGGTTTAGAGAGAGAGAAACTTCAAATCTTCATATCTTCTTCATTTTAGCTCCAAATTGTAAGTTCTTTATATGTATTTTCATCTTCTCAATGTGTAGAATCTGAATCTGTGCTTTGTTTCTTCGATCTGTTCTTCGAAAATTTCCAGATTATTTTTCAAGTATTTCGCATTTCCTTCCAAAAATTAAATAAAATAGTTATTGTTGTTGAATTCATTCCAATTAATTATATAGTTGTTCAATAGCCTCAAGGTAGTTATTTATCTGAAAAAATTAATTTTTCACGAACCAGAAGTAATTTTTAAATAATTTTGGTAATTATTTGATATTAGTTCATAATTTAGAATTAATACTAGAAAAAAAGAAAAAAATGAGTTCGGCCCTATTTACAGTTTTGTTAACTTAAATATCATTACTAGTAGTTAATATAAAATTTGGTACGAATTTAGAGTATTTTTTATTAATTTCGGTAATTACCTTATATTATTGCTTAAATCAAAATAAATACTAAAAAAGGAAAAAAAATTAGTTCGGACCTGATTACAGTTTATTCACAGTTATATACCTCCCAGTAGCTAAAAATAAAATTTATAACGAAGTTAGCATATTTTTAGTTGCTTTTTGTATTTTCTAGTTAAAATTGGGAAAGTTATCAATTAGTTGTTAAAATTGGATTTTAGTTTCAAAAATTCGTAAAAAAATTCCAGAAAGTTGTATTTTAGTTCCTACAAGTTTATTGTTCCAGAATATAATTTTTGTTTAATTTTTGCTATCATACATGTTTAATTCCTTGTTAATGTTGAATTTAATTATTATATCGTTAATTGTAAAAATGATAATGAGTAGCTAAATTTGTTAGGGCATGAATTGAGTAAAGGAATATGGATTGACTTGTTGACCTAAAATTAGGGGGTAAAATTAATAAATTGGACTAGTTGTTTAAAATGATGAAATAGTAATTAATAATAGTTAGCCATTTTCATTAATTAAATTCTTGGAAAATTAATTCTAACTTGTCTATGAGATTAGAAATTAATTTAAGCCAACCATATTTGAGCACATTAATAAGGCCTAGAAATAGGATAATTTAATGAAAAGGATTTACATCTTGTCTATGAGAAATAAATTCAATTGCTAAAATAAAGAGTTTAACTAGTTAATGAATTTGGCTATTTTTATTAATTAAAATATTGGAAAATTATTTCTACCTTGTCTATGGGTTTAGAATATAATTTAAGCCAACCATTTTAAACACATTAATGATACCTAGAAATAGGATAAATTAATGAAGATAGTTTCTATTCTTGTCTATGAGGAAAGAAATTATTAGTCCAACTTTAGTCTTAATTTCCCTAATTAAGAGGTCCAAGAACATATCCATTTCTAATTACTCAATTCATTGCCCTTATCTGCATCCTTGAATAATCAGTCTTTATACATTAATCTTTAAATTGCACCTTGCTCCTAGTTATAATTTAGCATAATAAAGAACAAAAACACTTTCCTATATTGAAAAGGCTTCCAACGATTAGCGATAGCCCGTGACTAAAATTAAATTAAGAAACTTCTCCGCCATTCCTCAAGAGACACGACACTCGGGGAAAAACCGAAAGGTTAGACTCCGTTTTACTACAACGCCGCGAAAGCGGTTATCAAATGGCGCCGTTGCCGGGGAATGGCACGATTATTTCTTGATTTAATTCTAGCATAGGTGAATTCTAGTTAGGGAGACTTTTTCGCCCTTGCGACAATTTGTATAAAGATTTCAGGATAAATGAATGCACACCCGCTCTAAAGGAGTGGAAGGTCTAATTGAACTTGATCCTGAACCTGAACGAACTTTGTGGAAAAATCTTTCAATCCACAAGAAACCAAGCATGGCGGGAGAAAGGACGGTGTTGCAAAATCTTACGCCAAACTTCATTGAGGATGATAGTATCAGCGCACCGGCAATCGAGGCAGCCAATTTCGAGATCAAACCCGCCATTGTCAACATGATGTCCAACCATCAATTTGGCGGGTCCAAGCAAGATGACCCTAGGGCCCACATGTTGTGGTTCACCCGAGCATGCCAAACGTTCCGCTTTAACGGAGTGACCTCCGACGCCGCAAAGTTGACCCTATTTCCCTTCTCATTACGGGATAGGGCATCTTTGTGGCTGAATAGCTTTCCAACAGGTCACTTCACAACATGGGCGGCACTGCACCAAGCATTCATGCAAGAATACTTTCCTCCATCGGCAGTTGCTAAAATTAAAACAGCAATCCAGAACTTTAGGCAATTCCCGATGGAGTCCTTAAGTGAAGCATGGGATCGTTTCAAGGATATGAGAAACAAATGTCCACTCACACTGATGGATTCTAGTAGCTTGATGTTCCATTTTTACAATGGACTTCAAGTTAGTAGCAAAAAAGAACTTGATTTCTCTTCTCAGGTGGGATCATTCCTTGACATGGCACCCAACACCAACGAAGCTCTGGTGGAGAAGGTCACTTCAAATGCAAGATACTGGTATGACGAAAGAACTCCAGCAACAACAAAACCAGGCTATCTTGAAGTTGACCAACTCACGGCCTTAACAGCAAAGATTGAAGGGTTGGTCGTGGAAGTAAAGAATCTGAAGAATGAAAACAATCACACCAACCAAGTCAACAACATCGGTGCTGTCCCGAATCAACAATCATCCCGATACTTCGGGAACTCAAGCTCTGCTCCACAGTCATCTCAATTTAATACTTTTTCACCTGTTTCTCATTCAACTGAACTTGTACTCTCATGTGAGATATGTTTTGGTCCACATTTGACCAACTCGTGTCAATTAGTCGATGAATGTAATGTAAACAACAACAGGGAAGTGAACATGCTGGAGTACGGCCGAACAAAACAAGAAGGGCCATGGGCGAATCAGGGCAACAGGGGGGGTAACTCCAACTACCCTCCTCAGAATTTCCAAGGAAGGAATTACCAAGGTAACCAATGGCGGGGGGATTACAACAATGGTCCTCCTCGCGGCGGTTATCAAGGTAATCAAAACTACCCCAACAATAATCAAGGGAACAACTTCCAGAGTCGGAACCAGGGAGGTGCACCAGCCCAACAGAACAACCAAGCTTATGTGCCTCCACACCAACGACAAACGGAGGCTGCCCAGCCATCAGAGATAGGCTTGTTGGTAGCAGAACTGGCAAGGACACGGGAGGAAATAACAAGATACAAGGCCAGCACTGACAATCAGATCAAAAATCTGATGATGCAAATTAATCAGAACAATGTTCCTGGTCGTCAGCCAGGCAACTTGCCTAGCACCACGGAACCAAACCCCCGTGAACATGTGCAAGCCATCACTCTCCGAAGCGGGAGACAAACAACTGTGGCTGAGCAGAAAGACAAGGAAGAGGAAGGTACCCCGACCATGGAACCTGAGAAACAAACTGATGCTCCAACTGAGAAGAGCATGGAACCAACACGCCCTAACACAAGGGTCACTATCGTCAAACCTTCTCTCCCGTTTCCTTCACGGGTTAGAAATGATGACGATAGCAGGAAGTACAACAAATTCCTGGACCTACTCAAACAACTCCACGTCAACCTGCCGCTGATGGATGCCCTAGCGGAGATGCCCAAATATGCCAAGTTCTTCAAGGACTTGCTGACGAACAAGAGGCAGCTGCAGGAACTCTCAGTCGTGGACTTGAACGCGGAATGCTCGGCCGTGGTTCTAAGGTCAATACCCGAAAAGCTAAAGGATCCAGGTAGTTTCACTATCCCTTGCTCTATAGACAATTTCAATTTCAATAATGCTCTAGCTGACTTAGGGGCAAGTATCAATCTGATGCCTTCCTCTATAGTCGAAAAGCTAGGACTCGGGGAAATGAAACCCACCAGGATGTGTCTTCAACTGGCTGATCGCTCAGTCAAATATCCGAAAGGAATTGTTGAAGACGTCTTGGTCAAGGTTGACAAATTCATTTTCCCAGTCGACTTTGTAGTAATGGACATGGAAGAGGATAGGGAAACACCTCTTATTCTGGGAAGGCCCTTTCTGGCTACCGCCAGGGCCTTGATTGATGTCACTGATGGCTCATTAACTCTAAGAGTCGGAGATGATCTTTGCACCTTCCGACTCTCAGATGTTATGAAACACCCCACAGATTCCTTTCAAGGATGTCATTTTCTTGATACCTTTGAGTCTATTGAAGGGTATCTGTTTGGGGAAGAAAATGGACATGTAACTGATGAAGCATGTCTGTTAAAAGAAGCCAACAGTGATGTGAGTGATGCATGTGAGAGTTGTGAGGATGCGCTGATTGATCAAGCTTCTAACGAAGTATTGACTGAGTTTGAGGGGGAGAAAAATGAACAAAACTTGAAAAACGACCACCCCCTCGAACTAAAGAAACTGCCCGACCACTTAGAATATGCATTCTTGGATGACGAAGGCAAATGCCCTGTCGTCATCGCCGCACACTTAAGTGAGGAACAAAGGGAGAAATTACTTGGAGTCCTTAAGACACACAAGCAAGCAATTGCTTGGAAACTTGAGGACATCAATGGAATTAGCCCCACCTTTTGTACCCACACCATCAAAATTGAGGAAGGGTTTAAACCAGTTGTCCAACCACAACGACGTTTAAACCCAAACATGATGGAAGTAGTGCGTGCCGAGATTGTCAAACTGCTGGATGCGGGTATCATTTACCCCATCTCTGATAGCCAGTGGGTAAGCCCTATTCATGTTGTCCCCAAAAAGGGGGGAATGACCGTCATGAAAAATGAAAAGGGCGAACTTCTACCCAGTCGAACTGTTACCGGGTGGCGAATGGTAATCGATTACCGCAAACTAAACGAAGCCACCCGGAAAGACCATTTTCCCCTTCCCTTCATCGATCAATTAATAGAGAGGTTGGCAGGCCATAGTCACTACTGTTTCCTGGATGGCATGAGTGGATACTTCCAAATCCATGTCAACCCGGAAGACCAAGACAAAACTACGTTTACATGCCCTTTTGGGACCTTTGCTTTTCGTAGGATGTCTTTCGGTCTCTGTAATGCTCCTGCCACCTTTATGAGGTGCATGATTGCCATTTTTGAAAAATACATTGGCCACTTCATGGAGGTATTCATGGATGACTTCTCTATTTTTGGGGAAACGTTTGAAAAATGCCTCGAAAACCTGGAAAAAGTACTTATCCGCTGCAAGGAAACCCATTTAGCCCTAAGTTGGGAGAAATGTCATTTCCTTGTGAAAGAGGGTATAGTACTTGGACACAAGGTGTCAAGTAACGGGGTAGAGGTGGACCGTGCAAAAATTGAGACGATAGAGAAACTTCCTCCAGCAACCACGGTAAAAGCCATCCGCAGCTTCTTAGGACACGCGGGCTTTTATCGTCGTTTTATAAAGGATTTCTCTAAAATCGCAAAACCTCTCACCCGGTTACTTGAAAAAGATGCGGTTTTTATATTCTCTGATGAATGTCACCATGCTTTCCAAGCACTTAAAACACAACTGATCAATGCTCATGTGCTTGTGGCCCCGGATTGGAGTTTACCCTTTGAACTCATGTGTGACGCTAGTGACTTAGTAGTAGGGGCCATCCTTGGTTAAAGGAAGGACAAGAACTTCCACCCAATCTACTACGCTAGCAAAACTCTGTCAGGGCCACAACTCAACTACACTACCACTGAAAAAGAATTTCTTGCTATTGTTTGTGCTTTAGAGAAGTTTAGGACTTACATCATTCTTTCGAAGGTTATTATCTATACCGACCATTCGGCCATTAGATATCTCCTCCAAAAGCATGATGCTAAGCCTAGACTGTTACGCTGGGTTCTTTTGTTGCAGGAATTTGATATTGAAATCAGGGACCGAAAAGGATCTGCTAATCAGGCAGCTGATCACCTCTCGAGGTTAGATGCCGAGTTAGCAGAAACTTTCGGAAAATGCGAAATTGAGGAGCTTTTTCCTGCTGAGAGACTGATGGCAATATCCGCCAAGGAACAAACACCGTGGTATGCCGACATTGCCAACTACCTTGTTGGTAAAGTCGAGCCTACCGAACTGACAAGGCACATGAAAAGGCGGTTCCTATCAGAAGCAAAGCACTATTTTTGGGATGATCCATATCTATTCCGAATTTGTGCTGACCAGGTGGTGAGAAGATGTGTTACTGAAGCTGAGGCAAAGGACATTCTGGAGCATTGTCACAACGGTCCTACTGGGGGCCACTTTTCAGGGAATAGAACCGCAAGGCGGGTTTTGGACTGTGGGTACTTCTGGCCCACGATTTTTAAGGATGCTAATGTATTTGTTTCTTCTTGTGATAACTGTCAACGAATCGGGAACATTTCTGGGCGCAATGAGATGCCCCAACACTTTATCTTACCTTGTGAGGTATTTGATGTTTGGGGCATCGACTTTGTTGGACCTTTCCCAAGCTCAAGAGGAAACAAATACATTCTTGTGGCCATTGATTATGTTTCTAAATGGGTTGAAGCCCAGGCCTGTGTCACCAACGACTCTCGAGTAGTCGTGAATTTTCTGAAAAAGCTCTTTACCAGATTTGGTGTGCCTAGGGTTTTGATCAGCGATAGAGGGACTCATTTCCACAATGATCCAATGGCCAGAATTTTGGCCAAATATGGAGTCCAACATCGAAGCGGAGTAGCGTACCACCCCCAGACTCAGGGACAAGTGGAGAACGCTAACAGGGATTTGAAGTCCATTCTGGAGAAAACTGTTGCCCAGACCAGGAAAGACTGGTCAACTAAACTTGACGACGCTCTTTGGGCATTTCGGACTGCTTACAAGACCCCGATCGGAACAACACCTTTTCGCCTTGTATACGGGAAGTCTTGCCACTTACCCGTCGAACTCGAGCATAAAGCACTTTGGGCGATGAAAAATGTTTGTTTTAAACTGGATGCTGCAGGGAAGGAACGATTTTACCAGCTGAATGAACTGGAAGAATGGAGAGCGCAAGCTTTTCATAATTCCAAACTTTACAAGGAACGAGCCAAACTCTACCATGATCAACACATCAAAGCTCGTGATTTCAATGCTGGAGATAAAGTGCTGTTGTTCAACTCCCGGTTGAAGCTTTTTCCAGGAAAGCTTAAATCAAGATGGTCCGGACCGTTCAAGGTCATAAAAGCTTACCCCTACGGAACTGTTGAGATTGAAGATGCTAATGGGGCTCCCTTTAAAGTCAACGGCCACCAACTTAAACTCTACCATGGCGGCCCGATTGAAAAAAGCAAGGAGATTCTCTATCTCCAAAAATTTTGAACCAAGGGAGGACATTCGTCAAGCTAGTGACGTTAAAGAAGCGCTCATTGGGAGGCAACCCAACAACCAAAAAAAAAAAAAAAAAAAAAAAAAAAAAAAAAACTAACCCAAAAATATTTACTTTGTTTATTTCTTGCAGATGTCTGGAGGAAGACGTGACGATCCCATTTTCGAGGAGCCACCACTAGGACGGGAAGACCCGCCACCTCAGCCTGATATCCCATTTGCTACTATTGCTGATCGCAGACGCTTCCAGGCATGGGGGCAATACCGCACACTCCTTCCTCCCATGATCCTGGACCCGACGATGCTAGAGGAATGGGGGTACTGGGATGAGATTGATTCCCTGCTAGGAGACTCTTTATGGCGGAGGATTCTATTCGTTCAGGAGAGGGCCAGCCTTCCATTGACGATGGAGTTTCTGTGCTCCGTTCAGTTCACTCATTACGGACAGGCTGTGCAGGAGGGTGCTGTTATTGGGTCAGAGTCTCGGATGAGGTTTACTATTCTAGGCATGGAGCACTCCATCACTGTGGCTGAGCTCGGATGGAGGATGGGGCTCTATACCCCAGCATACACACAGACTGAGGAGTTCCGTGCTCTTCCGACCCGCTTACCCGAGGCATTTGACATTGATGAGTTCTGGCACAGACACTCCACAGACACCAGATCATTTCTCCGGATGCACCCCCATTCGAACAAATGGAGGGCGACTCACTGGTACATACTCTCGTTCGTACTTTCTTGTGGTTTTTTTGGACGACCTAACAACACAAACAGGTTGTCCAAAAAGGACATACTATTCTTTTGGAGTTTGATTCACCGCATCCCGGTGAATATGGCTGTCCTTATGGCTCGTTTCTTCCGGAGCCAGGGGAAGACTGTGCGGCGCACTATCCAGGCAGGGCCTTTCATCACTACTCTCGTTAGATCATTCTACCCAGATCTAGACATTCCAGGACTAGTGCACTTACAGGATAGCATCCGCGTTCTCCGATCCTCATCCTTTACCAACATGAGGATCAAGAAGAAGCGGAACACTCAGGAGCTCCCAGGTATTGAGCAGCCGACCCAGCAGAGTAGTTCTTCTCGACCCTCAGGACATGAGGGATCTAGCGAGCCCTTTTCATACATGCCTAGCGCCGCAGATTGGAGAGCGATGATGGATGGGATGAGGAGTCTACAGACCTCAGTCTCAGAGATGCGGGTTGCACAGGACAGAGGATTCCAGGAGATGCGAGATGCGCATGAGACGGCCCTGGGAGAGTTCAGAGACTTTCGATTAGCTCAGGAGAGAGCCACCCGGGATATGCAGGCGGAGCTAGAGACCCAGAGGCTAGATATTGATGAGATGAGAGATTGGCTTAGGCCACACTATGGCCCTCGGGATTACGCAGGCGATGCTTAGTTTTGCTTCTTCCTTAACATTTTTTATTGTGTTTGTTTGTTTCTTCAGGTTGGACATTGCGCTGCTCTTTTGACTTGAATGCTCTTACAAACTGACTATGAATGATGTAAGGATTTTAAAAAAACCATTTTACTCCTGTTTCATTATTCCTCTTCACAAAATCTTTTCAAAACTCAAGTGTGAGGAAAGAACCAAAAAAAAAATGTGCCTTTATTTCCCAATTTTGTGCCTCAAAAGAAGACCTCGAGGGCGAGGTCCAGCTCAAGTGTGAGGAGGTTGCGTTTTACACTCAAAAGTCAAAACCTTGTTTTAGAACAATCTTTTTATTATTTTTGATATGAAACATTAATTTCTCAATTTGTTATCAATTCACAAAATAGTTTAGAAAATCACCCTTATTATAAGAATTTACTATTATTATTATTTTTGAAAACTTAAAATTGTTATGGGTTTTTGGTTGCGAATGTAAAGGTCTGAATTTGTTTTAATTGGACATTCATTTTATTCATTAAAAAAAAATGTTACTATTAATAAACCTCTTCAAAACTCATTGTTATAGGACAATTCCATCTCCGAAAAGGGGCTCTGTTTCATTCGCTAATCACAGTCTGTGAGAATGAAATATGCATTTACCATGGGATAACACCGCCAACAAGAGTGAAAAAGAGCAAAAAAAAAAAAATGGTGAACAAGATGAATGTCCAAATTAGAATAATGAAAATCTTGGGATAAGGAATTGATTGGTGGTTTAACATAATAAATAGTTTTTCTTAAGTAATACTAATTTTAAATTCTTGTATTTTGGGTGATTTTTCTAAAATGTTTAAAAATTGAAAATAAAAGATGAGATTTTTGTTTCTACTTCTTTAAAATAACAATTAGATTGTAATACAGTTAGGCTTTACCTTTTGAGTGTGTTTACAACTAATTCGTCGCTTGAGGACAAGCAACGCTTAAGTGTGAGGAGATTGATAAGTCCATTTTTGAACTTATTTTTCTTATCAAATTTAAGCGATTTTTGAATGAAAATAGAAAGAAAAGACACATTTTATATATTTTTTGGTTCAAGTTTCATGAAATCAGGTAAAAATCACATCCATAATATGTTTAGCGGGATTTCGGGTCAATTGAGCACAAAATGAGTCAATTTGAGTGACAAATGCATTTATACCGGAAGAAGCAAGCATTTTATCAAGGTGATTCAGAAGACAAAAATGAAGAGCAGGAAAAGCCGCATCTACCAGACAAAAATAGCAGAAGGCGCCCAAATAGGCGCCCAAAATGAAGGCCTTCGCGGCCGCCTACGGTATTTTTGGAAAGTCAAACTTTGACCGGATTCGGAAAAGACCGTAGGCCGCCGACACTGGACGGAAGGCGGCCGCCTACGGTGACCGCCTGCGGCAGAAGACGACGAAGCAACCGCCGGCCGGTGGGATTTGACGGCAGGCGGCCAGACAGGAACGGCAGGCGGCCGCCTGCTGGACCGCCTGCGGCGGCCGGGATCCGCCGTGATCCGATTTGACAAGGAAAAGACGGCAGGCGGCCGATGTGTGACGGAAGGCGGCCGCCCTCTGTGGCCGCCTACGGCTGACGGGGACCGGCCACCGACCGCTGTCGGCGACGAAGACGGCAGGCGGCCGGAGAGAGGCGGAAGGCGGCCGCCTGGTTGGCCGCCTTCGGGGAAATTTCTCCTATAAATAGCCCGATTTTTCCTCAACTCAAACACACCTCTTCCAACCCTAAATCAGTTCAAAACACCTTCTTTCTTCCTCCATTTTCGAGCTCCAAAGGGTTTAGAGAGAGAGAAACTTCAAATCTTCATATCTTCTTCATTTTAGCTCCAAATTGTAAGTTCTTTATATGTATTTTCATCTTCTCAATGTGTAGAATCTGAATCTGTGCTTTGTTTCTTCGATCTGTTCTTCGAAAATTTCCAGATTATTTTTCAAGTATTTCGCATTTCCTTCCAAAAATTAAATAAAATAGTTATTGTTGTTGAATTCATTCCAATTAATTATATAGTTGTTCAATAGCCTCAAGGTAGTTATTTATCTGAAAAAATTAATTTTTCACGAACCAGAAGTAATATTTAATTAATTTTGGTAATTATTTGATATTAGTTCATAATTTAGAATTAATACTAGAAAAAAAGAAAAAAATGAGTTCGGCCCTATTTACAGTTTTGTTAACTTAAATATCATTACTAGTAGTTAATATAAAATTTGGTACGAATTTAGAGTATTTTTTATTAATTTCGGTAATTACCTTATATTATTGCTTAAATCAAAATAAATACTAAAAAAGGAAAAAAAATTAGTTCGGACCTGATTACAGTTTATTCACAGTTATATACCTCCCAGTAGCTAAAAATAAAATTTATAACGAAGTTAGCATATTTTTAGTTGCTTTTTGTATTTTCTAGTTAAAATTGGGAAAGTTATCAATTAGTTGTTAAAATTGGATTTTAGTTTCAAAAATTCGTAAAAAAATTCCAGAAAGTTGTATTTTAGTTCCTACAAGTTTATTGTTCCAGAATATAATTTTTGTTTAATTTTTGCTATCATACATGTTTAATTCCTTGTTAATGTTGAATTTAATTATTATATCGTTAATTGTAAAAATGATAATGAGTAGCTAAATTTGTTAGGGCATGAATTGAGTAAAGGAATATGGATTGACTTGTTGACCTAAAATTAGGGGGTAAAATTAATAAATTGGACTAGTTGTTTAAAATGATGAAATAGTAATTAATAATAGTTAGCCATTTTCATTAATTAAATTCTTGGAAAATTAATTCTAACTTGTCTATGAGATTAGAAATTAATTTAAGCCAACCATATTTGAGCACATTAATAAGGCCTAGAAATAGGATAATTTAATGAAAAGGATTTACATCTTGTCTATGAGAAATAAATTCAATTGCTAAAATAAAGAGTTTAACTAGTTAATGAATTTGGCTATTTTTATTAATTAAAATATTGGAAAATTATTTCTACCTTGTCTATGGGTTTAGAATATAATTTAAGCCAACCATTTTAAACACATTAATGATACCTAGAAATAGGATAAATTAATGAAGATAGTTTCTATTCTTGTCTATGAGGAAAGAAATTATTAGTCCAACTTTAGTCTTAATTTCCCTAATTAAGAGGTCCAAGAACATATCCATTTCTAATTACTCAATTCATTGCCCTTATCTGCATCCTTGAATAATCAGTCTTTATACATTAATCTTTAAATTGCACCTTGCTCCTAGTTATAATTTAGCATAATAAAGAACAAAAACACTTTCCTATATTGAAAAGGCTTCCAACGATTAGCGATAGCCCGTGACTAAAATTAAATTAAGAAACTTCTCCGCCATTCCTCAAGAGACACGACACTCGGGGAAAAACCGAAAGGTTAGACTCCGTTTTACTACAACGCCGCGAAAGCGGTTATCAAATGGCGCCGTTGCCGGGGAATGGCACGATTATTTCTTGATTTAATTCTAGCATAGGTGAATTCTAGTTAGGGAGACTTTTTCGCCCTTGCGACAATTTGTATAAAGATTTCAGGATAAATGAATGCACACCCGCTCTAAAGGAGTGGAAGGTCTAATTGAACTTGATCCTGAACCTGAACGAACTTTGTGGAAAAATCTTTCAATCCACAAGAAACCAAGCATGGCGGGAGAAAGGACGGTGTTGCAAAATCTTACGCCAAACCAGGAGACAAGTCTTCCACCCAGCAATTGACAATGACCGGAAGTGCTCTTCCTGTCCAATCTACAACCTGCAAAATCTGAATCAGAATAACCAATTAGTTCAAAATTACCTCCCTTAGGATACCATAGTCCTGCATTTGGATTTCCTTTGATATATCTGATAATCTTCTTAGCAGCAACTAGATGGCTCTCCTTGGGCTTTGATTGGTATCTGGCGCAGATTCCTACAGCAAAAGCTGTGTCTGGTCTGCTTGCAGTCAGATAGAGGAGAGATCCAATGATTCCTCTATAGGTTGTTGCATTGACGTGCACTTTGTCGTGAGGTGCGCTCAAAATAAATACAATACAACTAATATACGTAGTATATTGAAGTAAGGTTCGTATCCGCAGGGAAAGGAATACTTCTCTTTTTTTTATAAACCAGTAAATAAAAAGGGGGGTTTTGATTGAATGATTTAATTAAAATTGAACACGAAGATGAACGAGTTATGTGGTTTAATTAATGAGAAGAAGACTTGGCTTTGCTTTTATCCACTTAATGAAATGTTCGTCGATCCCGGTTATATCTTTAACTATCTTCCTCTCGAATACTCAATTGAGGAGTATATCCAGTTCATCGAGGGTAGTTATTAATAACGAGATGCGTTCATTAATAAAACTTACTATCGAGTCAATATAGGACAAGCGCCGTATATTAAATTGATAGTAGCAATAAACTTAAGATGAAAACGATTGAGATTGATAACCTCAACACAAGCGGTTTATTGGTTTAATCAATATAAATAACTCCCCTTAGATTATTAACCATGAGAAGCATGCATTAGCAATCCAAGTTTACTACCATTGAAAGAACCGAATTAATAACAAGCGTATTAACCGATTGATTCTAGTAATAATTAATATATAGGGCAAGACTAGTTGATACTTTAAGTAATGCTCAATATATTAATATGGGATATGAATAGGAAGTAATTAATATTCAAGGAAGAAGATTAAAGAAAATAACTCACAACTTACAAATCATTAAGCTTCAAAGTAGCAAAACCAAGAGGGAAGAGTTTAGCTCCTCATTTGGAGACTAAACATGATAAAAATATAAAGAAAGGACTTGACTAAACTGAGCTTAGAAGTATATATGAATTGGTGTCCTTCTTGTGGAGGAAATGGGGTGTATTTATAGGCTTTTTAGGCCTGCAGGGTCGTGTACCCGATCGAGTTTTTAGCTCAACCGATCGGGTAAGGGTTAGTTTCCTCGAAACTGAAATTCTGGGGTCATACCCGATCGGGTATGTCGGCTACCCGATCGGGTATGGATACGCGATCGAGTTAGAAAATCCTCCTGCATGTTGCCTTGTTCCCGGATTTATCCGATTTGACTTTTCAGCAACTTACCCGATCGAGTATAGGGCATACTCGACCGGGTACACTACCAAAAATCAGAATCTTCATCTTTTCTTGAAATCTTTGCACTTTCCTTCCAATTGTGATGTTCACCAATGGTCCCTAGAGTGGTCTTGGACCTGTTTGAGCTCAGAATCAACCTAATCTAAACAATTTAAAACTATTTTACAAACTAAACTTTTACACCAAAAGTGTGTAATTTCTAGAGTAACAATAACTCAAAACTAATCAAAAACACAATTATAAATACGGAAATAACATGAATGTCAACTCCCCCACACTTAGTTCCTTTACTCGACCTCGAGTAAAACCAAATGTTTATACAATGTTTATCACAAGATCATGAGTTCATAGAGAGGAAGAAATAAGAAACTAAAACCACCAAGTATAGTGAATGAAGTTACAAAACAACATTTCCTTGGGTTTAACGGTCTTCTATGCTTCCTATTTCTTCTTTTTCTCGTCTTCTCTCCTTCTTCTTCTTCTTCTTCTTCTTCTTCAAGAGATGGTGTCCTGCAAAATAGAACAAATTTTTCTCTCATATCTCTCATTTTGCCTAGGAGCCTTTTCAGGTTTTCATCCTAGCATCTCTTTTCTTTTCCTTCTCTTCCACTCACTCATTTTTTGCTATCAATTTTTTTTTTTTTTTTTTTTTTTTTTTTTTTTTGTGTAAGCCCTTGTTGCTTAGATTGCCCTTTTGGGTTTTCAACCTAACTAGCCTTTCATTTCTTTTATTACATTTTTTTTTTGTGTAAAAGTAATACAAGAAAATAATGCTTAGTACAAGGTAGAAATAAGGGAGTGTACATACCACAAGATAAATCTTCCTCCCCCACACTTGAAACATGGCACTATCCCTAGTGCCCGCCTTCTCCTCCGTAATAGCTTCCTCCAAAGCCGCTTCCGTGCATGTCATCACCGCCCCCCTCGCCCATGGTAGTATCCCCGCCATCATAGCCACCACCGCCGGAACTCGAGCCGCCAAAATTACCCCAATCGGAGGGGTTGTACCAAGAAGGTGCCGGTGGAGGTGAGGCCATGGAGGCAAACCCGCCAAGTTGGGACATGTATGAATATGTCGGCCCATACATCCTCCGGTAGTCTTCTTCATACCTTTGCATGTCGGCCGCCCTTTGTTCCTCCATCCTTTGAAAAGCCAACCGTTGCTCCTCCCGGTAAGCATCAAATTGCCGGTCTCTTACTTGTTGCTCGTTCCGGTAATGGCCTATTTCTCCTTGAAGTTGGGTGAATTGTTCTCCCATTTTGGTGTAATCAAGGCTCATTGTTTGGAACCCGGCTAGGAGGGATTGTTGACCCTCCAAGAGTTGTTGGAAAAAGTCTTGTGGTGGCGGATTTTGAGGAGGGTTGGGGATGTCATGTTGGAAGTGTCCATAATCCTCTTGGTGTTCGGGTTGCTCCGGTTGGGGGTTGGGTTGTTCGGCTTGGTCGGCTTGGTCGGCTTGGGCTTGGAGATGGGGTGGAATGTTGTTGGGGAGGAGGTAATGTGGGATGTGGGCGGGCTCCATCTTATACCTAAGTCTAGGTAACTCATCGCAAGGGAGGGGGAAGTATTTGACCGGTTCGGGGTACTTCATGTGCCATTTATATTTTTGGTTTCCGTTGTGGTCTTTGTTATCCAAAGAGATCAATTGTGCATTGGACAACCATCCAAGATGCATCAATGAATCTCTAGAGATTGTGGCATTATCCACATAGCCAAACTTGGAAGCCAAATGCATG